TACATCTTTTAATATTGAAGAATGATAATAGGTGTAGAGAATTGATGAAACTTGTAGAGTTAGTTATTTTTGAGTAAATCGATTTATATCTTTTTGATACATAGGCATTAAATAAATAGTTTGTTGTGGTATTTTTATACAGCCCTGGTTTCGTGTTATCTTTTGGTTTAATGTTTGTCTCTTATCTCTTATTATTTACAAATTACTGTTAATCAACTAAAGGTTTTTATTATACTACTTCATACCAGTATCATCCAAGCTATGCATATGTTTAAACTTAATATTTTATGATATGTTGTGTTCTGACATTTTAAATTTGTAATCGTGCAAGTTGATGGATCTATTGTACTCGCAGCATTTGTCCGATTTTTCTATTGTTTAGACTGGTACCTTGGAAATGTCTGTTTCAATTCTGTCTATCAATTATTGGAACATACAGGAACTGCGTTCCTGAATTCAGCGTTATTAGTACACAAGCAATCATAAGAAATAATTGTTTTATTTGTTATGAAAATAATGCACATATAGATCCAGGATTCGTCTGTGAAACCACTACAAATTATTCTGAATGATGTAATATTTCTAAAAGAACAAATTTATAATTATTTTCAGCACATAGTAACTATACTTCATAAATTCTATAAATTTCCAGACAATGAGATTGTGTAAAACTGATTTCTAAAGCCTACAAATAGTGACGTATAAAAACAGTAATCTTCAGGTTCATAATTTAGTTGTGACATAAGAGAGTTTCAAATACTGACTGTTTATCGCAGTATGTGACAATATGTTCAAACCATTAATGTTTTGATCAGATAGTGTGTACTGTAAACTGGTGAGCCAAATCGTTATAGCGGTTACTTGATTTTATCAGAAATAAATAGAAATTAAAATTTAATCAAAAATCAAACATACTGAAAAAAATTTAGAAGACAATAAAAAAAAGGCGTTAAAATGAAATGCTCTTACATCAGTAAGAATCTTACTATGTTGTCTCAAGTAATTTGCATACTGAATGTATTTGGTCACTTTCAGAAATGTGTATTAATAATAAACAGCTTTTGATTACAATTCGAAAGTTTGGTTGCTTCCAAGAGCCTTTTGCTGAGGTCACTGTTATCATTCAGTTATATCTTTAAAGTTGGAGAGCAAGAGGTTAGCGAGACTAAGTCTATCTATAATACGACAGGTCAAACACTTTTTTTAACTCTCACCTTTATACAATACTTTGAAAACCTCGGTGAACTCTTAACATCCATACGATTGAGTTAGTAACCAATGGTTTATATTTCTAACTTCATCCAATTGACGATATTGCGTGATCACCATTATCGTCATCCCAAACCATTAGTGAGTAAGTGATCTAACTCCAAACAAAACTGGTTACATAAATTTCAGAAAATTTAAACACTATTTCAGAATGGTTATTTGATTTCATTAGAGTAAACAGCATACAGTTTACAGAATCCATATGTGACTAATGATACTCACAAGATCGATGACAGTTTGTCAGCTAACTACTTAAAAGAAATATTGTTAGGCTGCACTTCTTATGTTCAATTCTGTCTCATCAAGGAAGTATACTGACAAAAGAATAGATCGATAAGAAATTCTAGGCGTCATTGTAGGAGCTTGCTTCGAGACTACTAAGCTTCAAAACAATCAGTTTAGTTCCGGTCGCCTAGAGATTTAACCTGTACAAAGGGAAAATAAACAACGTATTTACCATATGTTAAGCACGCTAACTTAGTTGGTATTTCACATTGTTTCAATGCCTATTATAGTTCACTAAGTTTCACATTAGAAAACCAAGTAGATTATTCCATCTAATTCATTGATATGCTTCTGACAAGGTGTACTGATGAGTTTGCGAACGGGGTTCATTTGAAAAAAATAACTGTCGAACGGTCAGTTAACCGAATTTTGTAACTAGGTTCTATGAAGTGGAAAAAGGAATCCTGTTGTAACTTAAGATTGGTATGAAGTTCATTTAAACAAAAATTCTAACTTCGAATATTGGTCAATTTGATGTGGTGTATGAAATGTTGCTTGTCTAAAGAAATAAAGTCAAGCAATTTATTTCATTACTTTTATCTTCGTTGGATATTTTTTTTTGAAAGCTGTTATCATATTGTTACGAATACGCGTCAACATGTCATTTGATATGCTTGAACTATTACGAGTTCACCTTAGTTGGTGAGCGAGAACGAGGATCGATGATCCGGCGACACGACAGCTACTCTAATCGAGCGTCCCAACCCTCCCATTAAATAGAAGAAGACTTGATATGAAGTAGAACGTGTATTCTACAAGCATGCAGAAAGTACGTGGTCCGAGTCCAGAAGAGGATAAGGATCCCGGACAAAGGATCCGAGTCATGAAACGTTTCAGATCATGCATATTTATACAGTTAGTTGAATAGGAAACAACATTAAAGTATGTGACATTGATAATTAGGACGACCACTAGGAATCGACCAACAGAATTAGACTTACAAATAATTCTCTTCAGATATTGGATGAATATCCTAACACATATTCCATTTCTGTACTTTCACTACACTGTTAAAAAACCGAATTTGATTCATTAGTAAATTTTTCATTCCAAATCTAAGCAGAACCATTCACGAACAACACTATTTTTCACTTCGAAATATTATTTTATCGATGAATTTTGTTAACTTGCATAAACCTGACCTAAATATGACATCTTGTGATCTATTCGTGTCACCGCTGCAAACCGTGATAATCTTAATCAAATTTAATTTTCAAAAAAAAAAAATCTAAAAAATAAATTGCACAACATGTAATCAATCTCATGTTCACCTTCAAATTGTATCAATGTAATTTATTTAATAAAACCAATTTTTCAAGTCAAAAACTAATGAGACACTTGACTTACACTTGTTTAGAACACTAGTGATGAATTCAGTGATTAAAAAAAGGAAACAGACTGGAAATGTTTGTCTTCACTTCTAATGTATAGACTATCTATCTAACCAAGTACATTTTAAATCCATTATTTAGATCAATATTCATCAGTCTAGTTAAATTCTAGTTAAATGAATTGTTTTTCAAGTCACGACTAGACGATTGATTTTAAAATCGACAATAATAACTGATGATAAAATCAAATACTTTTCTACTAGTGACCTTTCTATTCTACATTGTACTCTAGTTTATTCAACAACATCTTTATATAGATAGTTTCACTGTATAATATTGTTAATGAATATCTGTTTATCTAATAAATTCAAATCGATGTTGATTAGTTTTTACAGCCATTCTGTAATTTCAACTACTTGTATATATCGATCAATCTTCAACAGAGGTAAGGTAATGCGAAAAATCTAAGAATTATGCAGTTAGTTATTAAATAGCAATAATCAATTTATTCAGTGCTTTATAACGAACACATTAATATCGCATAAAAAAAACACAATATTATCCTCAGAAAAGCTAGTAATTTACTTCATGCATTCACTAGTCTGGTATTTGCTGCATTTGACTTTATTTTTTTACAACGCGGTTTTGTTTTGTATGAATTTATAAGAAGACTATAAATCTGTGGCTAATTGCAATACGATGTTGTCATTTAGTGAAAAAAAATTGGCTGAACCGCTGCAGTTGATTCACATTTACATACGGTTGGCTGCATAACACTCAGTAGATCTTTCTAATTTGTGTACATGCATTTCTCAATGAGACAGATATGGTTCTCCGCCTCATTGAATAATGATTTATCTTCAAGCTTTGAAGAATTACTTTTGACAAGAGGTTGAAACAGTCTTAATCGCATTTTCTTTTCAATTAATTATTGTAAACTACTTTGGAAACGATTGCTTATTCAAATGTCTTTTTTAATTTTGCGAATATTACAATAAAGTATCCAGTTTTTTTTATTTGTTTCATCTCATAAGGTGCCTACTGTAATCAAGCATCTTTATAATGAAAAATGCTCAACCCATTGTAAACTGGTTAGTTTATTTCCTATTTTCTGTTTACATATGACAGAATAGAGTGGATTAATTATGTTTGTTATACGACCAAATGAATGTCTGAGAAGTGAAATTAGTTTGCTAAAAATACTTGTAGGAGGTAATTACAAATTCGAACACATTATCAAGTTATATGGAAGTAGGTTAGAATGTCATTTTAAAAATTTGAGGCAAATTCTTCATTGATATAGAATAAAAAGATTATTTCTATCACATGAGGTTTTTTAATTCGTCAAACACTTATGAAAAACTGGTGAACTTTATTTGATTCACAACAGTTTTTCTGCTCTAATAAGTATACACAAGCTGATGAAAACAATCTGCTCATACCTGTTCATGAGCTTTCTTTAGAGGTTTATAAACGATAACAAAAACTCAAATAAAAGTACAATAATTAAGGAAGAAATTTTCGACTAGTTTATTCTTTGGTCAGTTCATGTTTGAAATCGTCAAGAAGATGATTTATTGCACCTCATGTCTGTTTATTACTTCATTTGTATTTTACTTGAATTACCAAATAACTTTAAAATCTGCTTCACTTCTAGTACCTCCTTCATTGACACAGAGATTCTTTATTTTTCTTATAGACCACTACATATAAAAATAACTACATAAACATGATTCCACAGTTCTGGTAAATAGTATCGTCTTAAAGAAGAGTTCTCTTCTCTCTGTCTAATGACTCAATTGGTTTTTCTCGATTTTTTGGGACATTCAGTTAAAATATCCTTTTTTTTTAATTTGCTAATAATTTAATTAATTATTTCATGATATTTATTATTTCTGGAACTTGCTATGTTTTAAAATCGAAACATCTAAAAAGTAGTAAATAAAATTCTACTGTTTATCGTTGAGCTTGCTTATAGACAAAACTAAAGCTTCATTGGATTGGTCAATCGGTGCTCAATGATATTGCATGTGATTGGTCGAATTATCTTGAGGCTTACTAACAATCTTTAAATCTTTTATTTAACTTGACTAAAATCTTCAACTAATATTTTTTGGATTTAGACAATATCTCACCATTACAATATATTTACTTTTGCTTAAAATACATGAAATAACGAATTTCATAAGAAATAACAATGTCAGGAATCGGATCTACATCAAATGCATCTATTCACCGAGGTGTACACGATGATGGACAATGTAGAAGTCGATATTTTTTGCATCATCATGGTCCAGATCATCCCCAAGGACGATCACTGAGTTCTTTTAAGCAGCATATGTCTAGTAGTGCATTAGGTCATTTAATATCAAATGCTAGTCAAAAGCATCTGTCTCGGCAACATAAGACAACTCATCGATTTAAATTCTCTAGCGCTGGTAGTCTATCACACAATCAAGTACATTTACATAAAGAAACCAATAATCATTGTAAAGTTGATGATAGAGTTTTTGAGGTGCTTTTGAAAGGACATGTATTTGTTCGTGCTACATGTTCAAGACTTCGAGATCCCTGCGAATTCTGTTTGCATTCAGTTCATGGTCACTCCTATTTATATTGCAGAAATTGTCCTGTTGTAATTCATAATAAAGACATTTGTCAAGAACGTCTTACTAGAGTGTGTCCCGCTCCGGAAATAGGAATAACAGGATGGGGTGAAGGTAAGATTTCTTACTTTTCAAGTAACTTTCAAATTCATTTTGTTACTGTTTTTACTAGACTTTGAATCTACGAAGATTAAGTTATATTTGAAGTCATAAAGACATGTTATTCCGACCGAAATACGTGCGGCTTTAAATCTGACAGGTTATTTTGAGTTTTAGTTAGGGACATCATACTCCTGAATTTAATTTGTGAACGTACTTAGATGCGTTTGTAACAAAAACGTTTGTTCTTTAAATTATTATTAAGTGATCCAAATAACGATGATAAAGTTTTCTATTTAAAGACCGTTGGAAAGTATTCAAGTGTTTAACTTGTGTAATTGGTCAAATTTTAAACAGGTAGGTAAACATTTGCAGTTAGTTATGAAAGTACGATAATATGACATGTAAATTAACAGTCTTGTAGATGAAGTATTCTCCAATAACTGTTTTAATATTTTTTTATACAAAGTGAGATAAATGTGCTTCTTGAACAGTTCATGAATCATAGGTGTTCCGAAACTTGAATCTTTCAATCCACTGTCACTAGTTACTACATAAGTGATCCAAAAAATTGGTTAGGTTTAAAGCAAACACAAAATTTTAAATAAGGTCAGGTATATGAAGGTGGAGGGTATAATAAAAATAAATTATCGATGATTTCGCAAGACTATTTTCCATAGATTGTAGTTGTTAACTATTTGATACCCAACATGGTTGAATTTCACTGATTACAGCTTCTCGCTAAGACTCTTGGAATTACCCCATGAGGTTAGTCCCTAGTGAAGTCGTGTTATTATCGAAATAGGAGGTTTATTGTGACTGGCGAACTTTCACAATTTACTCTATGCATTAATCTTTCACAATCACTAAAAAAACAAGAAGCTTCGAATATATTTTTCTTTCTATTACGAAACTCTAGATTTGTCTATTAGTCACAATGGAGGTTTTATCCAGAGTACTTATATGTCGTGTGTGAGACTGTTATCCTCTGAAGGTAATGAATCAGGATCGCTTAATTTCGCGATGTTTTATGTACAATGACACATCTGGATAACGGTTTAGTGTTCTAGATGTTTCGCATTCTTATGTGAGACTGAAGTTCCCAGGTTCGTTTACACAGATAGGTTGTGGAAGAACATTACTTTAGAGTCCCATACAAGAATGAAAGAGTAACTGAATGATTTCTGATTTTAGATTGTTGTCAAGCTAATGCTTGTCTTTGATGTTAACTCTCACAATACGTCATCTTTATAAATAATCTGCAGTTATAAACTAATCGTGGCTTCGAATTGGTAACAATAATTTTAAATTAGTAACACTAATAATAATAATAAATAAAGGTAACGATGACAAAATAATATTTGAATAATATTAATTTTCAGTTACAAAAATACACTAGGAGAAGACTGAATACGCAGTAACCAAATTGATTCATTTTATAGTTCGGTTGACTATTAAATTATCAAGCCTGGGGTCGACCAAGGTAAAGAAAGAAGCGGACACCTTTCTTTTGTACATATTGGTTCAACGTTTATGTGGGTAGTATATATGATATATTTGGTTAATTTTACATTTGCATATGATCCTCTTGGTACAAACGTGAGTATCGGGATAATATTAAATAATCTAGAAAGATATATGACAAATGTATTACCGTTATTCCCAATAATATTATCAATAAACATGTGCTGTCTCAACATTTATCGGACACATGTAGTGTCAGGGAGCAGTAAATGCATAATTCAATTTAATTGTTATTACTTGTTAAAGCAATTAAGCCAATGATGTTGTAAATTTTTTATGCAAATTAAGTTGATGAATAATTTATCACAAATACAGAAAAATTTCAAAGCATTTAAATTTCTCTACTGACCGAAAAAAAAAACTATAATATATGTTATATTTTGAATACAGCTGTTGATTAGTTTATGGATACTAAATCTGAAACTGATGAAAATCTTTACCAATTAATTGCCGTTATCCGGTTTACTAGAAAAGCAATCTAATTAAGCGATAACTTTAAAGGACCTTATATATATTATGTTCTGAAAATGAATATGAATTAGTTGGAAAGTATCTGATAAAATCGACTGTCCCTTAAAATGTACAAATAAATGTTTAGTTGAAAATCAAAAACGCAATACTAATCATTACCGCAAAACTGAATATATTCATTAGACATTTATCTAAAAAAAAATGATTACATGAAGTAAACTGGAAACAATTATTAAACTGACATTTATCGTGCAACTAAGTTGATCATCTCATAATACATGTAACATATCCTCAACGAGATCTTTATTTATTTTCAGCTGTTAGCCTATGTATGCTACCAATAATGACACATAAGTTAGGTGAGCCAAAAGAGTTCTACTTTGGAGAATCCGTTCATAGAACAATAAACGGATTTAGACTAGGTCCATATTTTGTAACTGAATATTCGTTCACCTCTGACCGTTTTCAACAATTCTACATTTGTGTCAACTTTAACCTTTGCAAACATTTTTAAACTTTTGTCATTTTCTTTCGATTACTTGTATCCATTAGTTAATCATCTTATTACATCAGAAAACGTGTGACCCAGACTAGTTACGGTATGAAAGTTCTCTCTCACCTTATTTTCAGATAATCTTGAACTATGTAATATTGTTACCATCAGTATAACTACTTTTGTGTTTTTTTTTTGAAGTGTTTGACAATTATTTTTACTAGTATTTTTAACTCTAATGATAACATTTAGAAATATGGTCTCTTCGGTCAGTTGCATTATAAACCTTACTGCTTACTTCATAATCATGCAAAAGTTGAATTTACATGAACGGAGGCAAATGTTAATGTTTGTTTGCATTTTTAAACTAGACTGTTATAGTTCCTCCAGCTTAAGAAATTTAAAGATTCATTGAACATGAAATGAAATAAATTTACTTAAGCATACGGTGTTTTTAGTTTTTGATTAATAAAATTTGACATAACGTATAGAGTTTAAGAAATTGACTTAAATCATGTGCAAAGAATTACAGCTTTGACACTAATCGAACTACATTTTTCTTCCTTAAAAATAACTAAACTTAAGAAACTACAATTAATTAACATATCTAACCTATCGAAAATCAACTAGCCTTATTCGGCAACATACAAATGAGTATGATTCTTGTATGGTAATTGGAATCTGATATTTGGTCTGTGATCAGTGATTTTTTATGTTAATTGCAATATAGTCAATGTTTCACGCATAAGTTGATTTGTGGTTTAAAAATTCAATTAAACCAAAGTGATAGTTTATTAACTTAACAGTTCAATGTTATTTTGTAAGAATGTTTTTAACAGTTGGTAATCTCAATCATAAAGGATTAGCTTGGTATTAATGGCTTGGCGTTATCAGTGTGGATAAATACAAAAATATTTTATGATCACTGTTATACATTACAAATAGAGAACACTTACAATTTAGAAAATTACCAAAATATTTATTGAAAAACTTTTCATATGCTATAAGAAAAGTTTCTCTTAATCTATTTCTATTTCAGTATTATGATTGAATACTTTTGATCAACATTACATTCTCTCTTGATAAAACTCATTACTTTCAAGCAACACACAGATTAGACTTATTTTCGATTTAATTTCACTTGATGAAATTCGATCAACAAATTAAATAAGTTGAAATGTTAAGTCACTTAGAAATCGATATTAAAAAACACCGAACTCTATCTAACATAACAATCATCCTATAACCATGCATCAAACTATGACAGAGATTGGTAAAAGAAATTTGTTTATTTGCGTAGAATCAAATACTGATTTCTATGTTATTCACTGCTCACATATGTTTAGATTGCAAGCAAATCTTATGTATACTTGTAAGTTTGCATGTTTAGCGTATTCAATTTAATTAACATTGTAAAATTGCTTAAATCATGATTTTATTGTGAAGACCGAAACGAGAGAAATCGACAATCGATGGATGCTTATTTTAGAAACATTATTGTACTTAATTCGAAGCCTTCTGAATACTAAAAATATTTTTGTTTCTATTTTATTCGATAAACCTTAAGATCTTGGCTAATATATGATTCATTGTCATACTCCGTTTTATTCTAAATTTATTTTAACTTAGACGTAAGCTCCATACCTTATTTTTCTACCGTAAACGGCTAGTTTGTGCATAATTGTATTTTTCTAAAGACTTTTACGTTGTAGTCTTGCAAAGTATGTGTTTATATGTGCCTTTTTTCGTAAAGTGAATCAGGAATAAACTGAGATTTTTCAAACAGAGTCATGTAGATTAGTGTTTTTACACATTTTAAATCATCAATCGATCATTGTTAGACCAGCATTAGAAACCAGAAAACACTGGTATTGGACTCATCAGCAGTGCTTACTAGTGACTAGCTTCGTGAGGAGAAGTGACGTGACCAGTGGAGTTCAACTCTGTCAGGTGTAGGCAGTAACTACCGAAGACAAATAGGTGAGGTCGCGCAAAATCTGTAGATTGATTAGAGTTAAATAGTAACACCGTCGGATGCGCTCGGTGGTCCAGAGGTTAGGTGTCCGCACGCAAGATCGAAGGTCTTGGGTTCGAATCCTAAGAGGTGCAGTAGTCGTGGATGCACACAGCTGATGAGTCCCATACCAGGACAAAACGGCTGCCCAATGCTTCCAAGTTTCTAATCGTGCTCTAACAATGACTGATTGATGATTTTAAATATGTATAAACTGAGTGTTGTTTCAGTCAATTAGTCTTCTCTCTCTCACTTTCTAGCCTATCCGGTGATAGAATAGCTTTCTTTCCTCTGATAAGGCCTTTGAGTCATAAGCAAACTTGAGTGCTGCTAGTCCAAATGTCCACTAGATGACCTATTGCATCAAGGCTTTTAGACTGGATTGAGACAAAAATTATTTGTATTGGTGACAGTCGGTTCAAGGTCTTAACTGATTTGAAATGATTTCTAATATCATACATATTTTTAATTGGTTTTACTTCATTAAAGTGTTATTATTTCATCTAATTAAAC